TGTGCAATACTCTTTGAGAATGTGGGCGTAGTCCTGAAGTGTAGGTTATTTTTACTTTTCATTTCTATGCGCTGTTACAAAAAAGCACATATGTTGATTTGTATTTGCACTGAAGGCACATAAAACACAAGCCGCTTTTGTTCTGTTATATTATTACTGCCAATGAAATTGCTATGGCTTTAGTGACACTATCTATTGCAACTGACTTTATTATTATATTATTGCTAGAAACTCATAGTTTTCTAAGTGGAGCGGTGTGCTGTTAACTCTATTATTTGGTTCTTTAAATTTACTTTTTTTTGTGAATGACAACTGACCGTTATTTGTAGCAAGCACACCTTAAATACCTTATTTATTACATATTGAAAAAATATAGTATATACATATATGTTACCAATGTACATGCATAAATATCCATATATAATTACTTACATAGTGTGTAGTATTTGTGGAGCTAATAATAGAACCACTGCTCTGGAGCGCAGTCCTCTTCAGACTGGTTGCTATTCACTCCGTTAGTCGAGTGGTGACACTAGCCTTGATCTTACTGTATGCTCGAGACTAGTGCAGGGATGTCTACACTGGATTGCGAACGAGTAGTAGCTGCGCAGGCTTCTTGCTGTTTCTTCACTAGTCTAACGCACTACATAGCTTACAGTGAGCACGAGACTAGTGAATGGATGTCTAGACTACAACGCGAACAGGCTTCTTGCGATAATGGATGAGTGAGCTCGGCAAGCGCTGGTCACCTGCTAGAAATTACGCCGACGAAAAGTCCTTCTAGCACAGGGTAAATCGTAAGAAGTCCAGGGAGCTCTCCGCTTTCATCAAATTTTACCTTACAATAGTTGTAGGAGTTCTAACTGGCCACAATCCGAGTGGAGATTAGTTATGTAACTTAACTGAGACCTAACCTAATAATGAGGCTGAGCTTTCATAATATATTGAAACGAATTTGTTTTAAGTTTTCAATTTTCAACTGCACCAAGTCATTATGTTCCTGCAGTATTAAATGAAAACATTTACAATACCATTTTCGTAAGCTGTTCGACATGCTACTTACCCCAAAATCAAAAATCTCTAAACCAATGAAATAAATATATGCCACCATATTTAGTAGCGTATAAAATCAGTGTATGCAATATAGTCCGTCATAGCAATTATTGTAACAATCATTAAATAACTGTTTTCATATAATCATATCATAACAAAACAGGTTATTTACTAAGAATTTGTATTTTATATTAGTTTTTTTTTCAAACCAATCAACGACAAAAACCTTTCAACAACAGCGAAAAACAAAGTAACAGAACAAAAACAAAAACTAATTCAGCAACAAATTACTCATACCAACAAAAAGTCATCGCTGATAAGAAATAATATATATGCGCAAACAATATTTTAAACGCCTTCAAACCAAATGCTAAAAGCATATGTATAACGGTGTGCTGTGAAGTTTTGTTGCACGAAAAATATACAAAAAAAATATGGGCATTCAAATTGTATGGAAAATTAACTTGTAGCAACATAATTTAGCGCAGATTGAGAATTGAGTAAAAATATTAAAATAAAGTTGCGCTTTTGTTTCCTACGATTACTTTGCACATTCAACATAACATACTTTGGCATGCAGAATACAGTTGCAGCTATGTACATGTATGTATGCATGACAATGTAACTATGTGACATTTAATATAGTTTCTGGCATTTTTTTTTTAGAAATATCGATATTTATAAGTGAGTGTTGTGGTGCTGTCATTCCGCAAATACACCAGTGGCTGCCAACAGCACCTCTGACTACTTTATCGCACTTGAGTCGTTAAATAAAGTCGACAAGCTCGCCACAATCAGTATAATTGCTTATGATTATCTGTTGATCAAAACAATTAACTGAGATAATTAGCCTTGCAATTATAAAGCGCATTTTAGTTATTTTTTATTTGTGTCAAAATTTGATTTGTAGACCAAGTATTATTTATTTATGTATACCACCCTTCTACCATTCTTTATGCTCTTTGACCAGCATTTAGTAGAGCTAAATAGACTTACGTGGGCGTGCTGGCTGAACTATGTGTTGAATTTTGTATAACCCCTTCACCAAGCTTGAATAACAAGGGCAGAAATGGATGATTAAGCCACAGCAGAATCTCAGCAATGTGTGAATGCGGCTGACCTTTGTTAAGAATATTTTCATGACTTACCCAAGTGTCTTGCAATTAAGTTTGTTTGTTGTACTTGAACGCCTAGCTGATAAATATTGATATATGACGTTGTAGAGCTATCAAATTACACTTGTAAAAGTCAGCGATAACGAGTATTTGAATAGTACATGAAAACACCTTGTAGCAGTACTTTAGACTACCTTAGCAATTATTTTCTGCATATTTATTAAAATAGTACCGATAACATTTAGTAATAATTAATGGTCCTATAATATTATAGAATTACTTAATAATGATCTTAAATGCTACAATTACCGATCGGCTATCACTAAAAATATGTTCAGTGTGAATGGATTATGGCACATACTTGTATTGCAGCTTTTAACATCGTACCTAAAGAGTCTTTCAAAATGCGTTGGATACACCGCTTGATATACAAATTTGTAATTTGACATAAACTGTTTTATTTTTAGGACAATCACGGTAAAATTACTTTGTATATATAAGATCACTTATAGGTTAAGTTATTTCTAACTTAACTAACTCAAAAAAGTTAGGAATACTTACTAAAATGACAATAATGTAAGCCAAGGGGTAAAGTAATGACCTAAAAATGACTTACATACATAACGCGCAGTGAATACTATTGATTATACTTGTAGAATAAAATAATGTACTACGACTTTGCAGAACTACTAACTCTAACTCTAAAAAAAATAATAATTAAAATGTCGCCTCTGTAAAATCTCTTTTACTATACCATTGTATTGTATTGTACCGTATATTGTATTGTACCAAAATTATTTACTTCACATTCAAGACTCATTCAATATCTGTATATAACTCTTTGAATTATTCGATTCGTAAAATGCATTCGAAAGATATCACAAATATAAAAATGTAAGTATTAGAAAAAAGTCGCGTGAGTGAGGCCCATCATCGGCGACATCAAAATTATTCGGTTTCTGAAACAAGCAAATTGGATTTTCAAATCTAATCACTTCTTAGTTATGAAAATGGTTTTTTTTATACCTCCTTTTAACACTCAGAAATAAACGTAAGAGACACTATAAAGTAGTGCTATCTGTGGTAAATAATCAGCAATATAAATCATCAGAAAGAAAAGTTGAGTCCATTCAGGCATGTCCGTCCGTCTGTCTGTATATACGCGAATTAGTCCCTCAGCTTTTGAAATATCGATCTGAAATTTTGCACATGTACTTCTGACTCCAAAAAGCTGATCATTCGTCGGAACCGCCGATATCCGACAATTATAGGCTATATCCGCCATACAAACTAAATGATCGAAATCAAGCACTTGCATCGAGAACTTTTTGATTTGACAAGACATCTTCACGAAATTTGGCATAAATTATTGTCTAGAATCCGCAAAGATAATATTATATACAGATCGGATCACCATAGCATGCAGCTGCCATACAAACTGAACGATCAAAATAAATAGATATCTTTTTATACCTCTCAAAGCTATAAAAATATGCACGTGTGAAGGGCATTATAGCTTTGGTGCAGCCGTAGTTAACTTTTTTTCTTATTTAGTCTGCTTTAAATAGATAAATTTTCTTAATTTAACAGCTTTACGCTGAATGATAAATTATTTCATTATCTCAAAGACACAGTTTCAGTGTAAGCACGCGACCATTATTTTGTAACTGCCAAAGCTAATTGAGATTTAAGCGCCACGAAAAAATCATAAAAGTAATACAAAAACAACTTATATTAATATTTAATATAGATATGCAGATGTATGAATGTGTACACTCATGCAAGTCAAATCGGTGAGTGAGTATATTGAGTGAATTTACGTTTGGTTGCAACGACCGACGATATGCGAGTAAAATATATATATGCATGTATGCATACATATATATACCGAAATATGTATGCATGTTCGTATGTGTTCTTATGAAATTTACATGTCATTCGAACACAATTATTAGGTTTGCTTCATTTTTCATTAAAATATTATAATTCATTAAAAGCTTGACATATTTTACTTTTAATTGAACTTATAAGTTATTCATAATTTCTGCGTACATATCCGTATATTAATTATACAATTAGTATGCTCATCAACAATAAAGGGGGCGGGCGCTAGTGCTCTTGTGGCATTGCTGAAGCAGCTGTCTAGCACGAGAGCATTCAAAATGACAATCTGACAGGCGGTTTCCAGCACATTTCTGGCGGTTCTTTAGACTATGCTACTAAACACATAACACTAATGCAACATTTTGCAAAACTAGCAATAATACATAAATATATATTCCGGTGTTTACATTTGGCCATTGAGATTTTTTCAAACCGATTACAGCCGGTAGTATATATGCATAAATGTTGGTGCATACGTATCGTTGCATTGGAGCAGCGTTGAGCTGAGTTGAGTAGATTTGAGTGGGCTGAGATCGGAATTTCGTATTGGTGGCGGCTGCAGAGGCAACCGGCAGTGAAAGGTTATTTTTGGGTTTTGTATAGACAACAGACTGTTTGGACAGGGTGGCGGTTGAGGGGCGTGCAAAAACACCAACACCAAATATTACTCTACTTCCATTGCACTTATGCGGTCGCTCACACATTTGCTATATGGAATTGTTGTTGCTTTTTTTGAGTACGTAACAAGACAAGTTTCGTTGCAATTTGAAGTTTAGCCGACGCCCGGCGTTTGTGCTCCTGTCGCTCTTGCTGCTAAATGCTAACTGTTAATGTTTTGTAGTTATTTTTTGTTGCTTCTTATTTATATGTAATGCACTTGTTGTTGCTGCAATTATTTTACAGTGGCGCTGCATATGAAGTTCAGCGAATTTTTTAGTATAAAAGTTGGTATAATTTCGTATTCGAAATCAGAATCAAGTCAACACTTCTTGAGTGTGTCTAGTAGCGATACAGCAAATCCTTTTCTTCACTTCTCAAATCCTTCTCCGCTTTAATCAGCAAACATGAAGGTAATACATAGTAAAACAGTGCCACAGAATTTACGAGGAACATCGATGCAATTGAGAATTGTGAAAATAATTAAAAAAATATAACGTTAAAATGACAAAAACTAATCTCTAAACTTAAGCAGTGTACAGTTTTAATAAACCAAAATTAAAAAAAAAAAAGTTTTTATTAAATCACTTAAAGTTTTCTCAAAATTTTGAAGATATGGAAAAGTATTAAAAACAAAGAAAAAGAAAATTTAAAAATAACTAGAAAATAAAAATACTAAATAAATAACTTAGTAGCATAAATGCTTTAAAACCGCTAATCTATATCCCTCACTCTTTTCCAGTTCGTTGTTGCCGTAGTCATGTTGGCTCTTGCCGCTGGTGTACACTCTTCTCTGCTGACCGCACAAATTGCACCAGCTGTGTCATATGTGACCTCTTCTTTGGGCGGTGGTCCTTTGCTAGCACAGGGTGCTTGGGGAGGACCTTCCGCGTGGGGAGGTCCTACCGCGTGGGGCGGATCAGCTGCCATAACTGGATTGGGTGGCGCTGGACTCGGTTTGTATGGTGGAATCCCCGGCATCTCACTCAGCCAAGGACCTCTAGGTGCTGCCATAGCTGCTCCAATTGCCGCACCTATTGCTGCCCCTCTTGCTTTGGGCCATGGTGCTGGTGTGTATGTGGCAAAGACCCGCGGTGCTATTCATACTGCTCCCTTAGCTGGACACGTCAACTCGGCGACTTCATTGAACTTGGCACCAGCTCCTGGAACACACTAATATGGTTCATGATGTTTTATATTCAGATCACCGCATATCCGTTCATATATAAACCCAAGCAAAAATATGTATGGTTGCATGCTGTCAGCAGCTATACTTAATACAAATTTGACGACATGGATGACAAATGGAGGATGCCACCGCACACACTGATTATGTATATTTTAGAGCGAGATACAGATTTCCGCCGTGTCTGTAGTTTCGTTTCCGATATCCCACAACCCACATCCTAATGCACTTACCGACATTTTTATGCAACATATGTTTAAGGCATATCTATATTTTTTATGTATAATAAATAATATAATATGTACATAGTACACATATACATACATATAGTTCATTTTAATTGCTTAGATTAATTTCAAATTTCGAAAACAAAAAAAAAATAGATGAATAGATTTGTTCATTTGTTGACATTAAGGCATATAATATCCAAAATCATATTTTATAACTCCAATGCATCTTCAGTCTATTTTTGTACAATAATTTTGAGAACTTATGACAAACGTAAAGCCTTCTTCTAGCTTTGACCTTTCTGAATTTTCTTCTCTAACTTTTTTCTTCTTTTAGAAGTTGTTGTTCTTATTACATTACATAACCATTTTTTTAAACTTGACAAAATATATTTTCTGTATATTTTCTCCAACCACATCAATCCGTTCTATCTATCCAGTCATTTATATAAATACCACAAACTAACCATAAATGTATGCCATATGTTGTATATTTTAAATGTTTAAATAAAGATTTTGCAAGATTTTTATAAAGTCAAGATATTCTTATGTATGGATTTATGCACCGTCGGGCTCAAAGTTTTTGATGGATCTGCAAGCTGAATTCACTGTTACTCTCTTAATTCGCTTAAAATTTATTTTTGATACGATTGCTTGATTTAAAACCACCACTAATACCCTGAATAGCGAGGAGAGAGAGAGAGAGAGAGAGAGAGAGAGAGAGAGAGAGAGAGAGGACGATAGTTAGATGTTTCAGTTCTTGGTTGGACATTACGGTATCCTGTTGTAGAGAAAAAATATGTGAAAAATTTTGCAGCAAATATACTTTTCATATATTTATTGCGGATATAACCACTGCGCTAAGCTTTGACATTAAAACGATCACCACGCCGAGGTTATTGAGACAAATTATTCGAAACGGTCATACTGTCAATTAAGAAGAACATCTCAAGTTCTCATGTCAGACGTACATACAAGGGATTGTTTTGGATCTATGCCTGCTGAAGAATTTTGAGCTCTATAGCACAATTAAAAAAAAAAACCTTAACTTCGTTTGCACCAAAATCCTTACAAACTTCACATATAAAAAAGTGCTTCACAACTAAAATGTTTCTATAAAAGAATTTGATTTCTATTGGTCAGTGTGTATGGCAGCTATATGTAACAATGGTCTGATCCTAAAAATTTGTTCGGAGATTGAATAATAATCCATACCAAATTTCGTGAAGGCCATTTTTTAGCTTTGATCTTTCAATTCGTATGGTAGCTATATCCTACAGGTGTCCGATTCCAACAAATAAGCAGCTTTTTGAAGAAAAGGATGTAAGCAAAGTATTAGATTGATATCTCAAAAACTGAGCAACTAGTTCGCGCATGTACAGACAGACAGACGAACATGGCTTAATCGATTCAGCTCGTCTCGCTGATAATTTATTTATATCTTAAAGTACCTCCGACGTTTGCTTCAGGGTTGTACAAACTTGGTGTTTTTAATAAATTGTTTCTTTCTGAGTAAAACTTATGTTGCACCTGTTTCCTTAAACAACCCATCTCATTGATGTGGCAGTGTCCTTGTAAGTTTTGGACTTGGTTCTTAGAAAGTTGTATATAGATACTGATTCCGGAGAGTCAGCGGTATATTTGAGTAATGTACATAGTCAAGACCTTTAGAACCCCATACGAGTAGTCCCAGAACAGATAAGTAAATAGTGAATTCAAAAGCTTCAATATAAATCACTTTATTCTGTGTATATGTAGGTATTCAGAGATTCAAGGAGAGGAGAAGAGGAAGATTATATTGACTACGTTACCGAAAAGCCACCAAAAATCGTCCACTAAAGTGTTGTCTTGGCAACACTTGATCAATAGCTTCTTTCAGGTTAAATACTAGTAAAATACCATTTAACTTGATAATGCTAAAGTTAATTGAGACTTAAGCCTTTCACTAGTGCATGAAAAGAACGAACGCTAAATTGAAATCTTTGCTTAAATGCATTGAGTTAATTATTACAACAACTACTTAATATTAATGCATATGCACCACTTTGTTGTTGTGATATATTCTGCGCTTTTATTTTATTTCAGTGCCGCGTATTGTTTACATTTATTTGCGCAATAATATTGTTGGGTGGCTAAGTGTAGAGAAGGTTCGCGAGGGAGCGGATGGTATTTGTTTTGGTATCTTGCATAGCCAACGGCTGTTGTCCATCAGCGCATTCGAATGCAAGCCAATTTTACGAACGATGCACTGACACATCGACGGTTTGTTGTTGCGAGCAAACGCCAAATTCGCAGGTTGCACTATTACATACAGCAATTGTGGAGCGTTCTTTTGGGCCTTGCCGCGCAAGATATACATCAGGGTAACGCCAAAAGCGTGCCCACACACACCACACACATATTTATATATACATATGTACTAACAGAGCATGTAAAAGGCTTCCAAATATAATACTTTGTTGAGCCAACATTCAGCTGTTGAGATATTTCCATAACGATTGTAGAGTAAATTGTAGTGCGGTGCAGTCCCGACGAGCACAATTGAGTTAAAGTGAGTTGAGTGGTTTCGAGGTTCGGCAATTTTCCATGCAGCTCACCCAGTTGATGGCGGCGCTGGTGGTGGCCGCCTGTGAAAGATTACATATATTTTCGGTAGTGTGTGTGTGTGGACAGGTGGTTGGCAGGGTGGTGGCCGGCAGGCGTGCAAAAACACCAACACCAAATATTACTCTAGTTCTGTTTGCGTTTATGCGGCCGCTTATGCCAATGTTATTGTTATTTTTTATTAAGTACGCTGCCGTTGTTGTTGTTACACAACAGTTTTTTCCTAGCATTTTTTGAGTGTGTAACAAGACAAGTTTCGTTACAATTTAAAGTTTAGCCGGCGCCCGGCGTTTCTTCGCTGCTTACACCTCAGCCATGGCTATTGAATATTGTTATTGCTATTGTTATTATTGTTGTGTTACAGAATAAGTTTTTTGCACACCCATATTGAACTTATTGCTGCTGCAATTATTTTATAGTGGCGCTGCATATGAAGTTCAATGAATTTTTTAGTATAAAAGTTGGCATAATTTCGTATTCGAAATCAGAATCAAGTCAACACTTCTTGAGTGTGTGCAGTAGCAGTACAATACATCCTTTTCTTCACTTCTTAAATCCTTCTCAAATTTAAATCAGCAAGCATGAAGGTAATACTTACTAAGTTGTGATGCATTGAGAATGTATGTATGTTTATAAGCTTTTATAGTAGTGTTTAAAAGTGCTTTTTTTAAAACTATAAATAATATTTAAATAAAATCTAGCCCAAAATAAAGGGCTAACAAGATGTATTTTAGAAAAAATGGCTTAAATAAATAATATATGTGTATGTGAAATTTTTGTGTAAAATAAATTGTTTAAAATGTTAAAAAAAACGATATTATCAAATTATTTGCTTTTGAAAAAATTTGTACACATTTTTGCTCCGTAATAATAAATATTTATTCATATTTTCCAGTTCGTTGTTGCCGTAGTCATGTTGGCTCTTGCCGCTGGTGTACACTCTTCTCTGCTGACCGCACAAATTGCACCAGCCGTGTCGTATGTGACCTCCGCAGTGCACCCTAGTCCATTGCTTACCGCAGGTGGTTGGGGAGGACCTACCGCATGGGGCGCACCAGCTGCCGTTTCCGCATTGGGTGGTATTGGACTCGGTGGCTTGGGACTAGGTGGCCTGGGACTCGGTGGTCTCGGACTCGGTTTGCGCGCTGGCATCCCCGGCATCTCACTCAGCCAAGGACCTCTAGGTGCTGCCATCGCTGCTCCAATTGCCGCACCTATTGCTGCTCCACTTGCCTTGGGTCATGGTTCGGGTGTGTATGTGGCAAAGACACGCGGTGCTATTCATACTGCTCCCTTGGCTGGACACATTAACTCGGCGACTTCTCTGAATTTGGCACCAGCACCTGGCACTTGGTAAACTCAGCATGCGCATACCAACAAGATCCTCACAAAGAATTAGTAAAAACTGACATTCACATACACACACACACGCACACATTATGCATATATGCTGGAGTATAGAAGCGCATTGCCAACTATAAGCACAACAAACAATTTGACAGCACTTATTGATGCCAAATGAAAGAAGATGCCACCGCACTGATCTAATATGTATAATTGACACCGAGCTCACCTATTCGCCGTTATGTATACCGCGTTCCGTTATCCGCAACTGCAATCCACACCCTGACACGCCTACCGACATTTATATGCGACGCACACACACACACTGTCTAACGCATATCTATGTTCTTAATTATTATATTAAACGATATATTATGTACCTTGTACACTCATATATTCCATGTTATTTACTTATCATAATCACTATGTTACACTTTATTTGTGGTGTTGGCGCAAACTCGTAGTCGTAAATGTTTGCCGATACGCCATGCTAAGGAAGGAAAGGATTTTAAGCACAAATCCGTTACAACAACTGCGATAACAATAACAACAACAATGATACTGATATTTTTACCGACAACACTATAATATATGATGTTCATTCTAGTTTCGTACAACAACTTTGAGAACTTTTCACCGCTCTGTATTTCTAAATCTTCTTCTTCTTTCTAACTATCTTTCGCTATTCTCGTTTTACGAGAAATCTTTTACTTTCACCTCATTTTTACACCTTTATTCTTAATCTTATACAAAACAAATAAATATATTGCATAAAGAAGCAGAATAAAATCAATAAAAATAATTAAAGAATTAAAAAATAATCGCTTTACTCTTTTTACTTCTTTTAGGCTTTAGATTTTTGATTCTTTGTTTTATGTGTTTGTGTTGCTTATTTCTGCAGAAAATATACAATTTCATTTCGTTAAAAACTCATATGTTTGTATAACTGCAACCGACTATTTGCTAACTATGTTTCGAGATCCTTCGCAACAACTTTCAGTAGTGTAGATAGTGCGGTTAAATCAATAGAAAAGCTTCGAGTATAAAAACTAACCATCTCAAATCTAACACATCCACCCTATTATAGCAATTTAAAGCGAAAAAAAGTTAACTTCTGCTACACGAAGCACAGTAGCATTTTTTTATAGCAACAAAGGTATAAAAAGATGTTTTTAAGGTATTTATATTTAGCAGATGTGCACATATGTACGGATATTGTGGTGATGTCTTCAATAATAAGCTATGCAAAATTTTGACAATATATCTTGTCCAATAAAAAAGTTTGCCATACAAGGACTTGAGTTTTAGCTGTCAGTTTGTATGACAGCTATATGCTATAGTTGTCTGATCTTGGCGATTTCGACCTATAAGCAGCTTCTTAGGGAGAAAAGAACGCATGTAATATTTTAGACCATTATCTCAAAAACTGAGGT